TACCCTCTCGCATTGGTCTCTACAGCAATTTCCCAGTTCCCTATCTTGCCAGAATCCTTGTAAACCGAGAGCGCGCTTCCTCAGAATTTCTCAGTAACCTCAAACGTTAAATATTTTACTTGTATCTTTCCTTCTATTGATGAGATGTGTAATTTTTGACTGGAATGAAAACATTCAATTCTCGCAAAAGTCTATACAAATACAAATACAAATACTCACCTGCGGGGGCACTCATTCAAATTAGTGCTCCAAAAATGCCGACTAGAATGCCGGTGTCATTCATTCACCCTCAGAGTATGCATTACTTGGAATTCTCTTCCACCAGACGTTGTCTTTGCGCCCACAATTGATTCGTTCAAGCACAAACTGGATGAAGCTTTGAAAAGTCTTAAATTTCAACATCCGTAGAAGCGTACGAACTGTGAACCGACTCATCTGTGCCAAATCTCAAGGGGCTAGAAAAGCAACCGCTTGTAAGTATTTCCCACAATCAAACTTTGACTTTGACTTTGAATGCCAGTCCTCAGAACTAACTGATTACTGCACAACTGATTCAGAAAATGAAGTGCGAATTGTCGTGAAGCTTCTGCTGATAGCCTTTATAGTGGGGCTTTACCTCGGATTTGTTGAAATTATCGCTTTAGTTCCAATGCTAATGATAACGGGGCCATTATCATGGAACTGTAATCGTCAGCGTGTTGAAGCCAATTGCATAAAGGTAGCACAATGGTACCAGGATGTACACAAGTAAAGAGATACCACTCACTAATCACGGTACTTTATCGCATAATAGATTCCATTGTAGGGACAAAAGATACACAGACACTCACACCCACCGTGGCACTGTGTTGAAAATGGCCAATAAAAATAGCTTTCTCCAACGGAATGAAAGCCTCCAGGGCATTACCAGCATCCGATAAGCCGATAATCACCATAAAGAGTAACCAGTCACACATAGATTTCATCCATTACATGAATTATTGCATAGTACAGCAGTCGCGTTTCCCACCAACGGAGCATCTAACGGTTTCCAGATTGGACAAAAAAACCATGAGCACTATATGCCTGATCAATGAAATCACCGCACGGTGATCAAATATTTTGACAAAGATTGGTATAACTTTTCGGAATGTGCACAATGTAAGTCCTATATTTCTGGTTAGAACCAATGAGGCAATAATAAATGTGACGGTTGACAGATTTCTTCTTCACGAATTTGGTCATGTGCTTTGACCAAATAAAAACATAACTAACTCCGGGATTTCAACAAATGGAAACCAATCTGCTTTGATTGAAATAAAATCAAACAGAAACCGACATTTCTTGAAACAATACAGAATTATTTCTATCTCACATTGGTCTGAACTTCAAAAGCGTTTAAGGGGTTTTTCGGACAGCTATCAAATTAAAAAAAATTCATCACTATGTATGATTCGTAAACAGATCATTTGTTACCACTGCAACTTGTGAAATGCATGCGAATGTGTCTGCAGCTGAACATGAAAACGACCAGTTGGAAAGCATCCCTCTCACGTAGTAAGCTGATTTGTGTCACGAAAGAAAGATTGATGAACAGTCATTAATTTTGCTCAAAAAGTAATTTGTCATTTATTACCGTTTTGCTTATATGTTGGCTTTGGCAAGCTGGACAACACATATTTACCCATCTTCTTAAGAAAGATTTCAATTCGTGGGGGCTTTTTCTTCCCGGGGAATTGCAAAACGACGACTCAAAACTCAATCAGTACATAGTCCTTGTTTAATGCTTTTCCTTGCACAAACATAAAATTGAAATCTAATGATGTGAACAAGTCTAATGGCGGGGTGCAGCTGCGTTCAATTTTGACAGTTGCATCACAAAGATAAATTTACCATCTACGTGGTTGTGATGTATTGGGGAAGAGGGTAAAAGGGCATTGAAGAAAACTGTAAAACCACGGCGAATGTTACTCTAAGAGCTCTTGGGGGTCTGCGCCGGGTCTGACTCTCTTCAGTGAACCCCATTGTGTTTCATTTGCGAGGTTAATTCAGAGACATGAAGTGCCCGACATTTCCAGCGTTCTTAACGCCTCGAAGGGCACAAGGTAACACGAGGGTACAGATTTCAGAAATCATAATAGTGTGTGTGAGAGGTGCCTGATGCACAGTAGTCGTATGCGTTATTTTCTGCTTTGCAAATCAAATAACTGAAAAAACAACTGTAGCACTACTTCAAGTGACCGTTTGTTCACAACTTTTGCTGATCAACAAACTCTCTATCCTCTAATGTACTACTTCCACCTGGCTATCACACAATCCAACTTATTTAAGTAATATTCTTGGTTTCTTAACAAAATATAGGTATGCCTTCCATGGAACCTTGCTGTTCAGTTATGCGAATAGGCGACAAACTGATTTACGTATGCCGTTCCCTTAGTTACCTAGACGTCAGGATCTCTAATGACCTTACTTAATGGATTTACATAAGAAACAAGTAGAACAAAAGGGGAATATATACCTCGTTTCTTCTAACCTGATTGTGTTTTTCATTGAATCCTTCATTGAAGTACATTTATTTTACTAATTCATGAAGGATTTCGCTTTTTCGTGTGATACAAAGGCGATAATAATTTACTGCATGGATGGATTAAAGTAGCAAACATTCATGAAGTAAGCAAATTCACTATTCGAAAATGCACCAACCTCGTTAAACATTTTCTTCTTACATATTACTTCATATTGGACATACTTTGTACCCCGACCATAAAAGGCGTACAACTTTCTCCTGCAAGATGTTGTTACATACATTATGATACCTGAAACCAAACTGATATTTTTTTACCTTGCAAGATTTCTCATACGGACAAACTCAGTGAATTTTGAGTTAAAATTCATTGTTTTATTAGTTAACCCGTTAATTGGTTTATTTTATAGTTTGCCGACTGATGATACCATGCTCTTCAGAAGCAAAATGCTGAGACTTTATGGGTAGAAGGCATTAGGGAAAGCTTCATGTTTAAAAATACCCGTTTGATGATTGAATAAAGAACTTCTACAAAGTCCATCCTTTTCTTCTCTTTGATTACTTGATTGACAGATGGATCCAAACTGAAAGGTCTTTAAACCGAAGAAATATTTTACTCATCGGAACAATCAAACTCTGTCGAACTAGGTTTAGGTTCCACTGGTAATGTAAAAGATTGGATAGAAGAAAGACAATTAGAGCGTGCGCGCGCGGACGTACTACAAATTTGAATGACTCAAACCAAGAGAAAAATATGTTTTTAACCAATCCTCCGTTTTGTCCTATTAGCTAAATAATTAAATTATTGAGAGTTTGCATGACTCAATTCAATAACGGATCATGATGCCAGATTTGAATTAAATGGTGGCCAAACGTTCAAAGCCATAAAATAATTGGGCAGTAAATCAAAACTTTATGACATCAATCCCCCAAAGATTTATTGCTGGTTTATTTGAATCTTTATTAAATAAGATAGTGAATTATGTGCTTATTACATGTCACTTACTTTATGCGTGGTACGCGAAAACTCGCATACCGGTTCTGATCTGAATATTCGCTCAATTTGGAATTTTCTCTTAAAGTTTGAAATTCATCGTTTTGAAACGAATTATCTTTGTTGTATTCCGACCGAGTAGCGGTTCTTTGGTCTTTCAGTGTGATCACTTTGAGCTGAATACGCTGATGCGCCTCGCCTTGTAAAATCCAGCGACATCGTTCAATTCGAGGAGTCCCGTCGGAAATCATTTGATCTTCAATCGGTTGTACAATCATTGAATCGAGTAGTCGAATATATCCTCTGCTTGCAACCCCGTGGCTATCAATCAGGACTGTACAATTGTCTGACGCGGGGGGTGGGGCATTGACACAGAAAGAACGGATAATGATTTTGAAATTGGTCATTGATATTGTTTCAGACGGGGTTGTTTTAAGTTTGGGGTAAAAATCAAAAGCTATGGAGAGGGAATGACAACAATATATCACTTATCATGCAAAACTAAAATGAATACAGCGGAAGACTTGGGAATACCTACGCTACCTTTTGAATGAATATAGTGACATCGGAATAATGCAGAAGAAAGCTGCATTTTGATTTTATTCAAGCTTACTGAGTGACAATTTGTGTCCTCGAGATCTAAGCTAAAATGTTAATACAAACGCTTTATTGCGTAGAGCTTTATAACACCTAGCCTGGTGGCTGTTAATTTGAGTCAGACCTATTCTGAAATACTGGGCAAATATAACCGATTTACAACCAAAAACCTTTCCGGTAAAGTTGGAAAAGACTGCTGATGAAATACAAGCTAACAAGTACTATTTGAAAGTCACACAAATCCTGTACTTCGCAGAATATTTTGCTCAGTGAAATAATGATGAAGTGCTAGAAAATGGAGACGATAAAAATGATTAAAATCTTGGTATTTGCGGGACAGATAGATCACTTGACAATCAGAAGAGCAAGAGGTTCTAAGAAAATAAAGTGAAATATTCGGTAATGGAATAACTGCTTACTCGTGCGTCAGAAAATTATTTTCGAAGATTTTTCTCTAAGTAATCCGAAACTGTTTAAATGCATGGAACAAAGAAACAAATTAACATCAACCATAAAATACCAATTATTTAATTTGTCTGACAGACAAACACATCAATTATTAAAAAACGTTTTCCATGACTGTTGGTCACCCTCAGTTTTTCCCTCATAATCGTCTATTTACGCATATCTTGTGTTGCATCTTTGAAAATCACTTTCATGAAAATCGCAATCAAACAAACAACGATCAGGAACCTTGACATCATTGACAGTGGAATGGCAAAATCGGTGGATATCGATAATTCTATATATGCACTAAGCGTTTAATGATATAAATGCCAGAAAACAGGTATCTACATCCACAACTAGCAAGCTCAATCCAACTCAAAATGTTTTCTTATCTCGCGGTGGACGTGAGCTTTTATCGGTCATTTCTGAACAGGCGAGAACCAAATATCTCTTTATTGATTACACGTTTCAAAGTTGTAAGATGAAATGGTGCAGAACGCACCAATCAACTACTGGTGTTGTTTTCCGCTTTATTTCTTAAAAATAGCTTGTTTGGAGACTGATGAACAGGGGCCTATAATATCTGACTATGTTTAAAACAACAGCTAGGGCCTCCTATCCACAAATATTGTCTTGATTCTTCTTGAAAAGAAATAATATTTCGTACACCCATTCGTTTTTGTTACCTTTTGATAAAAGTATTTTGTGATCCCAGTCATGCTTATCTATTTCTATCACTTATTCTCTCAACAAATGCATCATATACTATTCCAGAAATGGTTTCAATTCCGAGATCAATATCCCGGAGGGTTACCAGCTTGATAACTAGTTTGTCCTCATTGTTATCGCCCAACCCATCAAATAGTGAGTGATCACTAGACATAAATGCAAGTCAATTTATGAAGGCTTTCGGGTCTGTTACAAATATTCATGACTTTTTAGCCGATAGTCGTGATAGTGTGCTATCACGAATTCTGAATTCCCGAAAAGAGCAGTTCTCGGTTCAAACCTTTAGAAAAATGTACTAAAAGTAATCCTATTTGGTTTTGAAGCAAATTCATCACGATCTGGGTACCAAAACATGTCGAAACTGCATGCCTTCAAGTGAAATATCTCCTAATCATTCTTCTGTCAATCCTTCGCTTATCTTTTCAAAATTCTCAACACTAAACTTTGCAATGTCCTGTTTACAGACATAACGATAATTTTGAAATTATCTGTGGGCTTCGTTGATTTCCTCAGGGATATCAGTGCAACTTATTGCTCAGAGCTATCAAAGCTTTCCACACAATCTTGTTCTGTTTTATTTTTACCGATGTCGGTTTGATGAACGTATTTCGAAAGTTTTATAACAATATTCTTTTGACAGAAGCTCACTGAAGGCAATCAGATATGGTACATGTTACTTGCTTGCGCAAAGTGTGACTATAAAATCGAATTCAAAATAGTGCGTTTACAAATTCGTGATAAAAGTCTTGTGAAATTTGCACATAATAAATGGCCACCCAATTCGTCACATTCACGTGGCTTACCAGGAGTGTAGTTCTCAGGGGGTACGGCCAGTTTGTTGATATGCTCTTTGTTCAAACGGATATGATTCTGTTGCCCTACGGCAGATGAAAAATGAGGTGTCGCAAAACGAGGCCCCACTTTCAGATCGTAAACGACCCGAAAACCGAGTTCCGTCGGACCGGTCACATTGTCTGTGACAAACCGTAACCGCACTCGATCGTGCTGAATCACCAGATTGCGTAGCTGTTCGGGCAAAATGACTCCGCAAAGTACACCCCAAACACGTTCGTGAAACTCGGGACCAACGCGCAATTCGAGCCGATCTCCACCATAATGCGTGCATCTGTGAAGAAGAGTGACCAAGAGCAAAACAGATTATTTTCTAGCTTTAGAATGTTTGTTTTTTGCTTTTAGGCGTAACATACAAGATGATACTCAAAATCATTCAGTTGTATATTTGTGTTGAACATTAGTTAATTAAATTGAGCTCATTAATGACCATAAATCTAATCTAAATAAATAACCAGAATGAAAATGTGTATGACTAAAGCAAGCAGCTTCATCCCGATTGGGACGAACCTTTGGAAAGTGGACATCCATGTAGTCCGAAAAATAAAGAACCATGAGAAGGGCATTTACCCCCATCTGATTATTGTGCAAAACATTCGACAGGTGAGAAACTCCAATCAAACGATTGCACACTAGCTTTGGATGTTAACCAGGGTTTTTTCGAAGAAGCTTTGCAACCATGGTGATTCTGGGAATTAATATGACAGTTATTTTAATGTAAGTGAGTACATGTACCTTAAAAAGGAGTAAACCATTTTAAAGAGTACAATATAGTGTACCCTGTTACTTCTTATCACACAAATAGAAAACTTTCATTTGAATCATATAGAGGTTTGTGATTATCTTTCCGTATTATCATTTAAAAGTCACATAATTCAACCCAAATCTGTGTGGCTTTGATTATTATAAGTTGATTGTTTGAGATTCGCTTGCAACCCTGTGTTTTCTAGTGGGCAATTGTAAAGAATTTCTCGATAACCTATGTTTATCTCATCAAACCACCCCATCCCTGACCGGAGACATCAAAGTCCAGCCGGTTCCTGATCGTCCGCGCAGTGCAGTTTAATCCAACTTGATTGAAAAAAACGGACGAAGTTAAAATCGTGCACCATAAAACGGGAAGTGCATTCGTACGTGATAACCAACTTATCGGATTAAACATAAAGAGTTCCATTCGATATTCCGCCAGAGGAGTACAGAAAAGTGACCCAATAAAAGCTCTTTCATTTGTCCCGCATGATTTTTATTTCGATCCCGTGTAGATTACACGGACCGATCAGGGTGTTCCGACCTTGCTGATGGCAAGTTCGCAGTCCGAGTGCCAAATAAAAGTTGATATTTTTCTGATTACAGATATTGCAGCTGATTTTTTTTGTGCGTTATCGGCATCATTCTAGCTGCAATGGAGAGCGTTATTGATTCAATTTCCTTGCCATGCGGAATAAATTAGGTGTTTTGGATAAGGACAGCAGCATTAAAGTCGCTTGGGTTGCGAATAAACAAACAAACCTGTTTCATCATTGCCGTACCCTCCCGAAAAGTGGACTGCTTACAGGTCTGATGGAAAGAAATGCCAATTTACCTTACCTTCTTAGGTGAAACTAGAAGAAGATTGAAAAATATAGAGCACAGCAGGTCCCTAGTTTTCACTACTTGCTTCGAGGTCACTTATTGGTCAATGTGGCCAACTGTTTCAAATAACAATGACGGGAGTGTAGTATCCGATCATCAAGAGATGGTACGGTGATGTTTTCCGTAAATAAGTTAGTGGACGAACCATGTGAGGATTTCCTGTTCGGAAGGTAAGGAAATGAACCAGAGGACAAATCTTAACACACACGCACACACACACTCCCAATTCAGTCTGTTTGCTGACAAGTTTTAGTGAGGGTATACCTATTCTATTGAGAGTCACCTAGGAGATGAAGATATTTGTCAGATTGTTCTACTACTCATCTCAATTCCTAAAATCAGTCAAATTCGGCCTTTCTTCGAAAAAATGTTTAGTGATGTGAGTTTAAACCCAAGTTGTTACTAAATGGTTCAGTTTTATGATGGGGTATTTTTCGTCCAGATTCAAGTTGTTATTAATTTTCGGGGACCTTTGGAAGCTCGTATAGCTAATTGGTTTTGCTTGTCCGAAGACACCGATAATGTAGACAAAGTAAACTTACCTGAACTTAACTCCTTAACTTATAGAAGGAGGTGTGTGTAATTGGTAATATGGGGCGCTTATTACTTTTACTATTCTCGCCGGTCCTCAAAAGCTCCCTACATGTTAATACTGTGTGGTTTGTCTTATATGATAGCGCAGCGTTTAAAATACCGAAGTTAACCTAGCAATAGTGAAATTTCTCTTGTATAATTTTTCAATACGTTGTTTTGATTCTACATGGAAAGAAGCCATGCACCTTCCGAGGCAAAACAAATGTCCCAAGCCGATCGAAGTAAACAATCTACAACTTATTAGAACATTTGAAAGGGCAGCGTGTAAAAATAAAACCAATATCATTGAGTTTACCTAACCTAACTGTAAACTAGACTAACGTCTACTTTTTGAGCTGAACGACAAAAAATCTGGTCAATGGAAGTTACGAAAACCAATATTTGGAGTTGAAAAGTCATCCATTAGGATTAAGAAAGCAATTTTTGACTTTGACTTTTAACTCATTTATACGAAATTAGTCATTGTCAAATTTTTCCTCCTTGAAGGAGAAAGGAAAATTTATTATATCTTCCACAGTTATAATTTAAAGTAAAAACAATGACGTTTAATATGAATCGTCTACCTTGCTGCGAATGAAATTATCAATGGGTAAAGCACATACTGAATTCCCACGAACAGTGATTTATTTCTGTGTACCGACGCACAACTCAAGCTATTGAGTAGTATATTTGTTGCGCGCAACAAAAGCGAATGGTAAACTCTCAAAATATTCAAAAATGATAATCATTTCATGAAAGTATGATTATTATGTTTAGATGAGACATTTTGTTCTGCTTAACTTGACTTGCCTTCCACTCGTAATTCTTTCAAATCAACAGTTTTCTTTAGTCCAGCACTGGTGTTGTGGAGTTATAACAACACTAATATACTGAAGAAGGTAAAAAATTTTTGGGCAACCTTATCTGATATCCAACATCCTCCTTTGAATGATCTAACCGAATCTGGAACAAATACCCTCAGGCGTGCTCCCTAAAAGCATGCACTATGTCACACAAATCATCGGTAGTACCATACTTCAATCTCTCATTTTGATCATAAAGCAGATTGAAGAATAATGATAGGCTTAAAACCTGCTTTTTGTGTTATAACATTCCGTATACTCATGCAGTAATTGAACCTCTTTAGCGTTGTTTAGCAACTGCTGAATACACATCGGAAAACAGATGTGGGGATTATTATGGGGAATTCTTTACCCAACCAAAAAACGATATCAAATAGATTCGTATGAGTGATCTTTAGGAATATGGCAATGTTTAAGAAAGAAATCCGAGTCAACTGACAACAGACTGTTTAGGACCAACTGGTGTATGTAGGCCAGTTCTCTGTTACTAACCAAGACGATTTATGTGCACAAGCAACATCAACTTCACTAGCCAGAGTTGGTGCACATATTCGAAAAACGATTGACTTTGATGTGCAGTTGAAAAGTAATCAAAAAGAAAAGATCTTTTCATAGGATCGAAAGATACCCACACGTGTAATCCACAATAGAAAAACAACGAATGAAGTACAGTGTGAATGTGGTATTTAGCAGTGTGTCCCTGAATGGCACGGGAGCTGCATAGTATTGTGCGCACAATATTTGAGTCTCCAAAGCGCAGCTATCTCTCTTTGATTATAAATATGACACAACTAATTTGAAGTAAATTAAGATCAACATAATTTGACTGTTCGGCGTTCTGTTGCATGCAAAACACTGTTTACTGTAATAAGCAAGATCTCCGGAAGAACTCACGCTGGAGATCATGTGACACGGAAACCTTTATGACGAAATACGGTCTACCAAATGAAGTGCAGGCCAAAATAGATATCCGTATTTCTCAAACATAATCGTTCACTGAAAATTACAAAACACCCTGGTTTCTGAACCAGTATCTTCACAGGTGATAAAATATACCAAATATTTCCACTTATTTATGATCTTTTATACTGGGCTCATGAAAATACGGATGATTCCGAGGACGTTCTTACATTTATACAAGTTTCCTGATGTGACCCGGACAGCGCATCATGGTTGCTGAACTATCGTATCCCTAAAAGCTCCTACCTCCACTGTGTTTATACCATGTTCACATTTGTAAGTATATTAGCTAGCAGGAAAATTTATGAAAAAGAGATTAACTTGTTTTGCTTTTCCGTCCAACCTCCCAAAACTCGACCGCAATGTTGCGGTCGCTCACCATTGCCTCACCGAAACTCAGTGCCATCGACCGAAGTTTCGGCTATGAATTTCCACTGTGGGCCACCCCAGCTTCTCGGTTATAATTCGTGCGTGTCATATTGTTAACCGTCTAAGTTGCATCCTAGCGCACGTACGAGATAGGAGATTTCCCCCTCGTTTAAAAGAAAGAAGTAGTCATAGCAGAAGTTACGGAAATAAAAAAATAGGGTGGGATACCGAGTGAGGTTTGCTTTTGACATAATCAGGAGGATATTTGAGTTGTCGGATTAGGTCATTTTTATTGCGCATCTTATTCTGATCAGAGAAAGTAGGGAATTCCTAATAACTGTATTGTAATATTGAGCAAACTGGCAACATAGGAACTGAGACGCTCGGGGAGTAAACGATGGGATTCTTGCAAAATGAATAAGCGATATTCTGCCTTTTAAAAATTAATAGTTTACGACCAAGTAATAAATAGATGTCTTTTTACTTCTTTTCTTATTAATTGAATATAAAAATTTACAGTTAACATTCAAGAAGGGGGGCTGGGAAGACGAGCTGTTTTGGAGTGATTCGAACCCGGGACTTCCAGGTCACAAGTTGGTGACCAGACCCCTTGGCCAGCACCAAGGTGTCGAATGGTGCTATGTTTCGAACTTCGAGTTTCACAGACAGGAGGGCGCTTAGGACAGCAACCTAGATCACTAGTTCACGTTTGGTGATTCAATTCAATAGATTGCTTTAATTGGGACATATGTTGTACATTTATCCAATTAAACAATGGATGTTTCAGTTTTCTATGGAACAGAAAACAATTTGAACAATGATCTGAGATAGGGTTTTACATTACTTCACCGGTGTCTTCAATACGTACATCGCTCTT